CTCTCTCTCTCCTTTATGGTAAAAAGACACTCATGACATTCTTCAGGACCACATGAACAGCACAGAGTACTGTGGAATTAGTTGTGTCCTATAAACATTCCAATATGCAAGCTCTTAATACTATGGGATTACTTTTAGAGCTAAGGGCTTTACAGAAGTAGTTAAGGTCCAGTGTTAAGGTCAGGAGTCAGTTACAGTCTGATAGAATTGTTGTCTTCAGGAAGAAAGAAACCAGAAAGCTTGTTTTCTCTGTGCAATGAAGTTATCAGCACCAAGGTGACCTGTGAGCTAAGAAGTCCTCACTAGAAAGTGATTCTGCTTGTCCTTGATCTGGTTTCCCAGCCTCTATAACTATAAGGAATAGTTTGCTTGAGTTAGACATTGAATTCTTCAGAGTGTTTTATTTTACAACTCATTATGACTAAAACATGGTATGAGTTCGTCATCTCAAGATCCTTCCTAGTATTTTCCCATAGGAGGTACTGAGAGATCTTTTGGGGGGACACGGATGTATGCATTGAGCCGTTGACAAGAGTCGCCCTCTTTCTGGTCCTCTTTTTCCCTAGGATGGAATTCCATGTGTACTCAAGCTCAACAATAAAGCTCCAAGTAGCAGCTGCCTAACAAATGGCAAATACTGCTTTATATTCATGCTTCCCATCACAAAACAAATGAGGCAACAACAGAAACATAGTTTAGTGTAACATTGGACAGGAGAGCAGGGGCAAAGGTCCTGCAAAGACATATGAACTGCTTGATGCCCTCTTTTATTTAAGTGCTTTTCCTAGATTGGAATCCACATTTCTGTGTCTCCAAAATCTATTATCTTCTGCAAGAATCAGTTCTTATCCTGGTATCTATTCAATAGATTCAAGAAAATCTTGTTTGCTATTTTTTCACTTGAACCATTCCATTGACAGCAAACACCTGTATAAAATATTAAATTCATCAGGATTAAACACAATCATTTCTTTAATTAATGGTATATTTGAAAAATTTAAATGAATTTAGCTTTGATGCATTGGTGCTCAAATGGTAAAGCAATATGCAATTTCCTTTCATTGTTAAAAAGTCATTAATAAGTAATCTTTTAATTCAGAAACAAAACATAGTTTTAACATTTGATGAAAAGGCAGAAATCTAGGCACCTATGTAATTTAATAAATGACTAGAGGTGTAAGCTTTGGATAATTTACAGGGGAGAAAAAGTGTATTATCATTCTTTTCATCTTCTTTTTGTAAATTTTAGAGAGAAAGAAGCCCCTTTTATCTTCTGTCAAAATAGCTGAGATCCATAAGATAGACAGATAACAATAATATATATCATTAAGCAGACATAGAAATGTATGAGTCTGGTAAATAGTTATTCTCTTAGAAATGTATCAGACATTGTAAAATACAAGTGCTCCAGCTGTATTAGTTCCTTCCTCCTCGTCCCATGGTAAACCACTGTGTCAGAGCTTCCATTGTGTTGTCAGAGTCAGCTAACAGTTTGACTGCTTTCATCTTCCTGACCTCTGGGGCTGCAAACAGCAAACTGTGGCTTCAACCATGATAACTGAAAGAGATTTGTTGGTGGAGCAGCAGGAGCTCACAGTATGCAGGAGGGGCCAGATGAATGAAGCCCAGATAGACAGAAACAGAAGTTGCTCCCAAAGAGCTGGAATGCTTTGAGCCACTACGAGAGAGGTCACCACAAACAACTGAGAAGAGGAGTCTGCCTTAATGCAAGAGTCAGCCACTGCAGTTGTCTCATGCTGATCAATGAAGCTGCAAGGACGCAGCTACGAATTTTGTGCCTGTATCTTGAAGAGAGCAGGGAATTGGATGCATCAGCTGACACTTAAGATATTCCACATTATGACAAAAACCCTGTCCTCCTAAAGGCATCGGCAACTACCTGATGTGTAGGGGAAATGAGGAACATTTCCTGAAGAGAAACAGGAACTTTTGGGGATCAAAAGCGGCATTTTTCAGTCTTTGTCACTATTCCAAACACAATTCTAGCATAAAATTTTGCACAATCCAATTTTTTGATTCATACTGCTGAAAATAATTAAGATTGGCAAATTTTTGGAATGATTTTTCTGACCGTGAAGAAATATTCCCTTTGATCCAGTAGTGACCCTTAGCTCTTACTTTCTTTTTGTCTTAATACATATGTTACAATGACATGATGAAAGAAAAGATGTGAAAGTAAATGGTGACACAGGATGTATGAACCTTATTCATCACATACGCAGAGGCAGCAGTTAAGGACCTGCATCTTCCCTTTAGGAGCTCCTGATGCACTGTTCGGGATAAATGTTGAAAACAGTGACAAGAAGGAGTGACATTATGGTGCCAAAGGAGTTGATATTCATCATAGCATCTATAAAACCCAAAATGGAATTCTGCCAAAAACTTCAAAGAACACATGTTTTCCTACTCTACTATGTGAGATGTGCACCTGTACAGTTAGGGTAGAAAATATGTAGGTTTGGCAACATTTTATATTACCTGGGAAAACACAGAATAAATGTCTTGGATGCTGCAATTTGGGCAGTATATGATATCCATGCATGAAAACATTAAGACAGAATAGCACCATTCAGCAATAATAATTGTGATTGTGTGTAGCTATGTTTTCTATTTCCTTAGTACTGCAATTTAGAATAAATTTAGAGAGCAATTCTGGGACTACTTATTCAGTTATTTAATTATTTAACAGAAAAAAGTACCCTGAAATTCTTTCTCTCCTGTTAGCGCATTTAGTCTACCCTTCCTGTGTTTACAATTGTGGTTCTTGCTGAGACTGCCAGGGGAAATTCGTTTTTAATACTCATGTTTATTTATTCCCTTTATTCTTTGTAATTTGTTTCCTCAAAGCATCTGTTAAGTTAAAAGTTATGGGCGGACAGGTGGTGAGGGTTCAGTAGATTTTAGTTGGAAAAAATAGCTCCTTGACTCTTGCTAAGAGTGATTTTCTTCCTGGCATCACTATCTAATAATACCTACCCATTTGGGAGGCTGGAGTGCTTCAAACTCTCTGTTGATGGTATAAAATCACTCTTTGCACTCCAAACATGTTTCTCCAGCTTCTTTAGGTCTGTAGAGCTCCTCCAGTGTCATCAATTCTAAACTTTAAAGGTTCTCAATGTACGATCAATGCTTGGTCTCTACTAACTCAGCAACATCATCACTGTTTTCTTGGTTACATTAACTGCTTCTTCATTCCTCTTATGACCCTAATTTCTGTGCCATTTTTGACTGCACACTGCTGCCACAAATGCATACAGGACCCTACCTGGGTCAGAAGCCTTTTGAGCACATGCTGAGGAATCCCTTTTGGCTAGGACGTTCAGTGTAAGTTTTTGCAGCTCAGTCTTGTGGCTCTGTGCTTCTCAGCATCTTTCATATTCACTGTACTCCTACTGAGTGCACCTATGTGCCAACAGTGGACTCTTCTTTTGTGTGTTTTCTTCAGTGATTTACTTCAGCAGGCCTCCCCTCCTAGTTTATCCCTGAGTCATTCGGAGTACATTATTGAAGATCTCTTTACCCCATTCCTCATCTTACTGAGCTCCATAGAACGTCTTCATCCTTTCAAAAGATACAGGAGTCAGCTTTCGTTCTCTTGTGCTCGGTGTGCTGTAGGTGTGCTGTAGTGATTTGGATGACACATTGATCAGCTCTGGGGAGACAGAAACAGCACCTGTCTGCTCTTTGTAACCACCAAAGGCGGCTCACACTGAGCAGGTCTGTTTGTTGGCTTCATTGAAATGCTTGCACCAAGGCTTCCTTAGAGAGTTGGTAGGGTAAGAGAGGAGAAATGGTGCTTGCTCATTATCTTGTTTTTTTTTTTTTTGTTTTTTTGTTTTTTACTACTAGAGAAGATACCAAGACAGGACAGAGGTTAGTGTCTAGAAAGAAACAAAAGAGCAAAGAATAGAGGGGAATGCTAACACTAGTGGCCTTCTGGATTGCAAATTTAAATTAAATATAAAGAAAATTAGGTAAATGCTATGTGGGCAGTACAATAATTAACAGCCATGAGCAAGTTTTAAGCCCTTTGACCACACTGTCTTTGCCTTTCTCTTTGGGTCCTCATTGTTAGAAACTCCATCTCTTTCTCACTTGTGATGCACCACAGTCAGCGTTCCAGACTCAGGAAGGAGAATCCTCTGAATGAACTTTGTGTCTATCAGAAGCGCCCTTATGGAATAAGGAATAAATCCCAAATTTGAATTAATTCTTCCCTAGTAACCCGTAAATTTTGAAAGGAGAAACTTAGACCTGTCTGTATACCCTGACACATACATGAAATGGTTGCAGTGTTTTTCTACAGTGGCAGCTACGAAATTTTTCCTGTTTTAAATGATATGTTCTGAAAGGCATAAATTCAAGAAAAATATTTAAGATTCTCAGAGGTATAAAGCAAAGCTTGGTTAGTGAGGCAACAGTATAAAAATAATCCTGTGAAACAGAGGAAGTCAAGTTTTCTTAAATACAATAGTGAGGCAGGCATTTGTTTTTCAGATACCCTAGGGATTTGTATTTGAAGAGAAGAGATTGAATTCCTAGCTTTTTTTTTTGTTGTTGTTGTGGTTTTCGTTTTTATCGGTACCAGGGATCGAACTTACGACTGCCTGCTTGCAAGGCAGGCGCCTATTCCACTGAGCTAAATCCCCAGCCCCTGAATTCCTAGCTTTTGATGGACCAGAATCCTTGAAATATACTCTTACCATTTAAAAAGTAACTGTTTTCAGTGGGACTGTAATCTCATCGGATATATAATGCAAATCTGAGTAGACACTGTTTCATTGAATTTCACAGTAAAGAACTTAAGGGCACAATTTCCAGAATCTCCAGTATATGCAAAATGGTGTTTTTTTTTTTTTTTTTCTCAGAGCAAGGCTGCCATTGTATCATGTGTTACCATAACCATACTCTGTGGCGGGAGTCTGTTCCTCTGATTTTTAATGACCTTTTTCTCTCTCTCTTTTTCTGTTTCCCTCAAGCCTCAGCAAAGTGTTTCAGGAAACAAGGAGAGCTCTCAAGTGGAGTCAACCAAAGAAGGAAATCCAACTACCACTGCGTGTGACTCTCAAGATGTAAGAGTAATGTAAAGTACTTTGAAACAAGGACATAGTGTTTTAATATTTTTAGGTAATGCCCCCATGAAACTTTCCACTTGTGTGTAGCATCTGCTATCGAAGCCTTGAGATTGTCCTTAGATAGAAAATAGGCATGCATTCTCTTATTAGGATGTGCAAGCAGATCCTTAGCAGAACTATGCCCAGGAGATGTTAGAGACAAAAACCATAGGCCCACCACTATGCTTATTTACATAACACAAAACAGAAACATGTTAAAATATGAGAACAAATGAATGAAAACCTCACAAGATGAGATTTTGCAGTGTTGTATACTTAATAGAAATAAATCCAGTGTTACAGTGATGTATTTTTAAAAAGGGAGATGTACAGCCTTCAAATGATAATAGGAAGTATGGAATTTAAGCCTTGTGATTGTTTTCATTCATGCTAGGTACAATCAAATTTTAATTCTTGGAAATTTCAGTTTGGTATAATTAAGCTCACAGATGTCTCATGCTTTGATTTAAGATGCAAGAAATTACAATTGTGTGAAGAAGTTCAAACTTAGGCTTCAATCATAAATGGAAAATGCCTGCTGAAAAGATCAGACTCTGAAGGAAGTGGGTAGTTATTAAACAGAAACAAGAGAGAATAGAAAAAAAAAATTGATTCTCCTGGCTGTAAAAGGAGATTTAAGAAAATGAATCCCTCCATACTCCTGACTTCACTCCTGTTCTGTAAGGAAACATGGACCCAAATTATACCATTTAAAAAGTGAAATTACTTTGAAGTAGCAATAAAATGCTCTACAGAATCCATCTCAGGGAAGCAAGAGTCAGAAAGTCTTTAGGTAAGAAAGAATATTTTTACTTTAGATCAAAGGAAAGATAGATCTTTAACAATGTGAGCACATTTTCAGAAGCAGGAGAAAAGCAAGCAGTTTGGAGAGGAACAGACCTCAGATAGTGGTTATTTACCCAAAATTTAAATAGGGATTAAAAGTGAAGTACGGCAGAGTGCCAAGTAAGAACTCTTGTTTGGAATTAGGGACATGGGCCTTCCCAAACTTTTATTTTCACTTGAGTGATGAACACATAGTGGTTAGTTTTTCATGAATAGTTTTATTTCATCCAGAAACTGCATAAAACCATGCTACCGTTAGAAGCAAAACTGCACAGCAAGGTGTGGTTTGCTAAGGTTCATTCTGATCTACTCTTCTCCCTGGACTTAGGACTATTCAAAATCATACTTTTTGTGTGTTTGTTTTCTCTCTTCTTCAAACCTCAGTGGCTTTCATCTGCCCTCACTTGTTTCCTTCTGTAAGTCTCAGAAGTGTCTGCTACCTGGAACTGACTCTGCTCTGAGTTCCTTCCAAACCATGCCTCTTCCAGCTGGAATGTGGATGCTGTCTTTGAGTGGATGTCTGTGTGCAGTGTCTGTGCTTCCTAAACCTAATATTTCCAGCTCTGGTGAACTAGATAACCTCAGTGTTAGGAGAGGAAGACTCAGTCACAGTTATAGGCAAGGAAAATCCCAGAAATGAGTGAAATCAACCAGCTATAAGAAGTAAAAACAAGTGGGACAGATGTGAAGATCAGGTACAAGTCTGGGACCAGTGTTTCTTGGTCTTGTCTTTGGAATACCAATGCCTAGAGAGCACGTGAGAAATACTCTCAGCAAGGTGCACTCCAGAAACATTATCTCAACATCCCATAACCAGACATCACTTGCATTCATTTTTAAATTTTTCCAGATGATTCTAAAGTACAGGCCACTTTTGCTAACAATGGGCTTCTTATGGAAAGGATTTGATAACTTTAGCTTTTGAAAGACTACTCTATAGAAATACATAGAATTAAGTAAAATTTGTATTGTTTTCAAATGGCTAGAATGACTCTACTCAAATCCAAGTAATCCTGAAATTCCTGGGCTGTGAATCATAGTTTTAAGGAGATTGTTTTAAATAAGACATAATCCCTATAGGATGTCATTCAGCAATACTTTATTTACATTTTCTCCATTACATTATATTTTAAAGGTGGTATGTACTGAGAAAAGTTCTGGGTAACATGAATGTGGTTGAAATACCACAGCTCTAACTTAGAGTGCTTAATTTATTGTAGAATATCTTACAATATGCATATGTGCATGTGTATACATATGACTATATGAGATACATGTGCATATATATATATATATATATATATATATTTGTGCTGATATAGGACTGTGATATTGTTCAAGGACCTGCTTTGTGATTACAATTAATGATAACCTTCCTAGAGAGAGCTAATAAACTATGATGATTCAAACTATACAGCTCTGCAGAAGAGTTGTCCTACAAACTGAGAATTCTATAGTTCTGTCACACTACTCCTTAGTGCTAAGAGCCTAATTCTACTGATTTCCTTAACTTACAGGAGGGGAAACAGAAGGATCTTTGTATCCATGAAAGCTATTGTTTTTGGATTCCTCTTACTTTAGATCAAATATTATGATTGGCTTAATTATATTGAGTTTCAATACAGCAATATGAAAATACTTTCCACTTGTTTGTATATCAAGCTAGAATTTCAAGATCCATCTTGATGTATTTTATTGAATGTCTAACTTGACTGAGATGGCACAGAGTATTTTCCATATGTACATTCTATAAATTTTTGTTAGAAATTATGAATTGAAGGAATATATTTTTGTGACTTACCTTCAACTGGAAACTATATCTGAGGTACTATGATTTATACAAGGAAATAAAGTGCATGATAAAGTAGCTAAATATTACTGAATTCTTTCGTTCTGGGAAGAAGCCTGTACTTAGCAGGACAGAGGGAAACACAGCTGATGAAAACAGTAAAAAAGCATTTCAGCCAAGTATAAAAATGGACTTTATGAAAACTATCTGAACTAGAAGAAGTATTTGGGAGGGGTAGTGAATGTTCCATTGATGAAAAACAGCTCTTGAGGCAGGGGACAGAAAATAAAGCATTATCATCTTAGCTTTTACAATGGTTAGCAAACTCATGAAGAATTATCTTTCAGTAACTAGATAGCAAAAGTTAGACATGTATTGGTCAGAGTTGAGACTGAGTAACAAGATAAAATGTGAAAATTACATGAAATGTGTATTGCATACAGATTTTGCTGTTTTCTAACACTGTCACTCTGGCAAGTGATTCGATTATTCAGAGCTCTTATCAAAGTGAAGCAGAGCTGTGGTTTTCATGCTCCACTGTGACCGTGCATCACCAGGCAGCCAGGACAACTGCTAATGTGTGTGTTCTTCTTGGAGGCATGATTAATCCATATGTCTGGGCAAGGTGCAGGAATGTGAGGGATTTCAGTAAGCCCCCTCCCCAGATTGTCTTCATCAACATTCCATGCCAAACATTCTGACACACTTGGGCACTCATATCTTGTAGAATTTTGATTAAACCTGTTAGATCAGCTATATTCACCTACCCACCATTGGTTTTCATATTTTTTTTCCTCTTTTAATATCTTACAATGTTCTATGGCTAAAGACTCAAAATTGGAACTAGAGGGCATGCGTATTCTGGTTTTGATGCACTGCCTGCCTATCTTCCATGTGGGTACTTCCAAGCAAGGGTACTTAGAAAAAATGCCTTCTGGCTCCAGCAGTCAGGTTTTCACCAGACTTAGAAGACTTGCTATGCACCACTAAAGGTTTGACATCATACTGGGCTATCAGTATGGGCTGCACTTAAGTCATTTCAGAAGCAGCTCTGTTTCAGTGGTAACACTGGATCATTCTGAGAAAGTGAAGGGTGTACCAACTCCATTCCATTCTCCTGCAGCTTGCAAATGTGCCTCATATTATTATTTAAAAGCATTTCCAGAATAAAAAACATTGAACATTTTAATTCTCACTTAAGGACTGAAAGGTAATGCTCAGTGAAATATGCTTTGCAGTGTTTTTGGTTCCTGTAGGCAGCAAACACCTCATTTCTCTGGATGTGCGGAGCCATTAGCAGTAATGCTCAGTAGGCAGATCTAGTGGCCTTTTTTGGTTTCCTTAACGTGCTCCAGACAGGTGAGTTCCTGAGCCAGGGGTGTTCTAAACACGAAGTGTTGGGAAGGGAAATGTGCCGAACATAAATCCCGAGGCTGCAGACTGAAAATGATGCCAGCTTTCCCATTAGGCTGTGCTGTTCTATGCAGATCTCAGTGTGTGACATGTGACCAGAACGGGCTCACAGTTTACAGGGTTTGCAGAGAAGCCACGCCCCATTGTGCCTGTCCCGAGGAGTGGTGGCATCCCAAAGGCCAGGCTTTCGGAAGCCTCGATTGTGCTATTCCTGCAGTCTTCAAAGGAGCTATTATGGCCCTGGAGGTTGAACGTGTGGCAGAAAATCCAAAGGAAAAACTCTGTTTTCCCCATTAAATATGAATCTATTTATCTTTTTATAACACTTTTACCAATCGATGATAGTAATTATAATTTCTTTTCAGAAATGTACAGGAATCTTAACGCTTATTATGTTAATTTAAACATTTTAAAAGTTAAATAATATATAAACAAATAATATATTGTGAGAATATTGTCCTAACAAGAAGATCCAAAGACAGCACTTAATTTGATAAATGAATAATAGATTCACTTCTACTCTCTCTTCAAAAGATAGGTAATGACATTGTTTTAAGGATTTCCTATAGTACTTGTTTTATACATGAGGCGTTTTGGCTGAATTTTGATTGTTTATAAAAGATTCCCATTTTGAACAGGATAGTAAGCAGTTTGAGGATAGTCATTGGTTGTTCGGAGAGAGAATTTGATTGGCTTAGTGACACCAACTCAAATTAGGGGCCCTGGATGTGAGGCAGGCTTCCCTTCCAGCCTGTGCAGCCTTCTCACGATCCTGGCTGTTACTCAGTGACATTTTTACTCACTTACTTCATTGTTTTCAATCATTTTCACATCGCTTTTTATTCATTTTCAATCCTCTGACACCGTTTTCTCAAATAATTTTTCTGTCACAAATATGAGATTTACTTGC